TGCTTGTAGGGTTCAGGGGATCTCGTAGTCGAGCAGTCTCGACTAGAGCTTCCTTTCTTGTTTTATTTATCTATTTTATTTTTGGAACTATTTTTCAGCTACGAGAGGAATTCGATAAAAACTGCAATATGCGCATTCCTGATAATACATGTCCACATGATGTAGCGACATTGCTAAAAGAGTTTCTACGGGATTTACCTGAGCCTCTACTGTGTAAAAGATTGTATACAACATTTTTGGAAACGCAACGTAAGACTAACACAAAGATATATGTTTGTTTTTGCATTTGTATGTATTGTTAAAATTATTTTATTAGGGATAAGAAACCGACGCCTTCAACTAGAAGCGATATCCCATTTAATCAAATTATTACCCATCGCACATCGTGATACATTATATGTGTTACTAAAGTTTCTGGGCAATGTAGCTGCCCATTGTGATAATATATGCAATCCAGATGGCACAGTTCATATTATTGGCAACAAAATGGATAGCAACAATCTATCCACCGTTTTTGCCCCCAACATTTTGCGGGATTATCCTCCAAAGTCGGGCGAATGCAAAGAGCAGGGTAACATGGCCGATGCCATCAATGTAATCAGGTGATATTATTTATTACTTATATTTATCTAGCATATTGTAGTTATTGTTTGAAGAAATAGCGAAATTTTTGGGGTCTCGTGGCATTGTACACAACTGATGTACTCTCTTCTATGTCTGCCAATTAATCTTAAACTACCTCACTACCATTGTACACAGCTGATGTACTCTCTTCTATGTCTGCCAATTATTCTAACTCTAACTCAAGGTTTTCAGACTTACATTGAGATTTTTATGAAACTGTTTACAAAGCAGCCAAGCATTTTATAGAATATTCGAAGGTCCTCAATAAATTGAATACCTTTTTAGACCCTGAGCCCATTAAAAATTCTAATCTGACGTGCACCGTTTCTGGGCGAAGACGAAATCGCCAGACAAAACAAGCCACTTCCAGAGTGACATATACCAAACGACAAACTCAAGTGGCTTCTGACAAATGCAAAAGACAGTTCGATCGCAATTGTGATTCTCATCATATGTCGAAAGGCACTCATATAAACAAACCTACATATAGGTGAACATGAATGGGAAAAATGGTTCGTGTTTGAACAACGTATTTTCATTACTTGACGCAATTTTATTAAACTTCATAAGAGGCGATGCTTGACCTGCCATTCACAGAACCAGAACCCACGAAATAAATAAATTTCAATTTTCTAGCTTTTATAAGTTCTGAGATCCGCAGAGTTAATTGATAATAAATATTTAACTATATACTACTATATATACTCTTATTTCCTATTTTTAATGGGTCCAGGGTATACAAACCCAGCTCATTCGGGGTTCCTAGTCGGCCAACCGACTAGACTGTCCTTGATTGTTTTAATTTATCATTATTATTGTTCTTTTACTTTGCAGAATAATGATTGACCACTATGAAGAAATCTTTAGAATCCCTGTAGATCTTGTAGATCTACTTTACACTCATATGTTAGACACATGTCCACAACAATTAAACATTCTTATCACGTCCAAAATAATTCAATCTCCAACGTAAGAATTTCGACTACACACTGCTATTTTAAGCTGCCTTATGATTACTTATAAACAAATAAAATAAAGTTCCATTATTTATATGGTGCAAGCAATAATACTATTTTGATCAGAGGTCGAACAAGCCCAGGATGACAACCTGACCCAGCCTAGCCATGTCCATTCGTTCATATCTCAACATGAGAGCTTCGACCCCGTATTGTACAGCTAAAAACTTTAAAAACTTAATTATGAAAAATTTTAATTCCGTTGTACTCTGTGTACTGTTGTATATTACATTCTCTGTGCTTTTTATGCTTTATGATTATATTTTTAGTTTTAACCTATATTTGACTCAAGCTTTTATCAATCAAAAAAAAAAAAAATAATGTACTATTTTTATTGATACCGCAATCGGTATTATTTATTATTTAAATAAAATATTTAAAAAAAAAGTAGGCCCCAAATGGAAGCCCAAATATATGGAACTTCTGCTAGTTTTATCTTATTATCCGTTCTTCAGCTTGAATTCACGCAAATCATTGGATCAAGTTCAACCTACAGACCTCACATTAGAAAGAGATCAAATTTTTCCTATATACCAAAATCTATACCCTTTATCCCCGCTAGAACTGTTAAGTCCGAAAGGCATGTATTGAGTTCACACCCCTTGAATATTCACTAAATATTAGTTTTGAAAAACATTAGGCTCCCAAAATGAGTAACTACTTCACTTTTAAAAGGAATCTCAATTTTCAGCATTGGCACAAATATTGTTTGTATTCAATCAATGACGCGTTGCTACCTTAGTTTCATTAACAATGTGTGATCCGTGCTGATGACTATTAAATATGTGCTACATATGAATAATATATTCCGTTAAATTGCTTTCCAGTACGCAGGTAAAGAGATCAAAATCTATCGAGAATCAGACGAGCCTCTCAGATGGTACGTACAGTCCAGTACTTTTACCTGATGGAAGGCGACAATCGACACCGATCCTACTAGAAAACCAAAATGTTTTTTCAGCCAGCTTACAAATATCAAAACCAGACGAATCGGCATCAGAACCAACGACTAACATAAATCAAATACAAGGTATGTATATTATATTGCGGTTTTTGTATGTAACTTAAATTCAAAGTAGTTGTATATGGGCAATTCTCTAGTGGCGATTGTGACATCGTACGTATTTGAGTTAATAAAAATCGAATGCCAAAACATTTTTTTTATTTTGACGAATATTATTATATAAGTATAGCTCTTGATTAGGTCTATAATTGGTACTAAGTCTGTTTTTAGTCAACTCTTAGTTTTCAAGATGATCACAAAAAACAAGAGGTTCGCAGGCAACAAATAACGTAAGTCGCTTTTTAAATGAACAATTCAACCGTGAGACTTTAGCGAAACCTTAAGTGACAATTTATTACAAATAATTTTAAATTATTAGAAATCGACACATTTTTACAATGTGTTTTATTTGATTCAGAAATATTGGGTAGTTTTTTGCATTTTTTAGTTTTAATCAGGGTCGAAGGTGACGTCTCGAATACTCAAAACAGAACTTTGGCACTTGTTCGGCTTTGTATGTCAATATTTAGTGTATATTAGTCAAATTTAATCGATTAGTTATTAAAGAATGTTATCAGAACACGCATTCATTGACTTTGAATTTTTCGGCTGTGGTTGACCTTTCTGGAGAAATGCCCATATCCTATAACTATGAATAATGGAAAAACAAGGTATCTGTGAGTGGGAAATCTTTCATTCAAATTAAGAATTTATGGAACTGTAAATACGAGTCGTGGCAGACCTCATATAGTATATACATACTTATTTTTTTGATCAGGACGACGATCTGAGATGATCTAGCCATATCCATTAGTCCTTCTGTCCGTATATTTCATCACGGTGATCTCCGAAGATATAAAAGATAGAAACTTGCATTTTTCTTCGGTCTGTGTATCGCACCTGCAGATCGAGGTTGGCTCCAAAAATCGATAACTACTCCCGTTTTTATATCGATTAAAAATCTTATCAAAAGG